CGGTATTGATTAAATCTGTATAACTCATTGCAAAGAAACAAAGAATAAAAAATAGTTTAATATTTATGTCTCATGACACACAGTCATTCAAAATTTCACAAATGCACAAAATACTTAAATTCTAACTCTCCTTTTAAATTGTCGAATAAGAAAAAGACAGAAACTATAGCTGCGGTGAGCCTGTCGAGCATATGAGACAAAAAATTATTAAAGGAAACACTGTCTAGTTATTATAGTATGCCAGTGCATCAATGATAGTGGGACACGTGGGTGCTATGAATAACTGGTTGCACACATAGTTATTTTTGCAGTAAAAAATATTTTTGATGGCTCAAAAAATTTTATTTCTGAAATTTGTCTTGACTTATATCATTACATGATGCCAAATACATGCATATTTGAGATATTATGAAAGTCCAGAGGTAAAGGTAGCTATTTTTACTTACAAATTACACTTCTTTGTATAAATTTGTACAACAAATTACATCATTAACCCCTGCTTTTGATTTTCTTTTCTAATTATAAAACATAATGGTTTTGAATCTACTTAAATTCAATAAAGGTTTAAATTTTTGATTTTTGAATCTGCTTCAATAAAGGTTTAAAATTAAAAAAAAATTATGCTTGTAAAATTTTAATGCCAGAAAAATGACATTATGTTGGCTCTAATAGTCAAATAATTGCATGATTACGCGATGAAATTTTTATTTCACAAAATTAATGTGTATTTTCTACAAGAGAAAAAAGTGCATTTTGTTTCGTGATTGAACAGCTATATGCAGCAGATCCTGTCATTGGCGTGGTAGTTGTGTTGCTCCTAACGTCTGCCGCTGTAGGAGTGGGTATACTGGAAGTTCCTGTCAAACACGTAAGAAACTCTACAATGTACTGAGGAATACAAGCTACATTTTTAAAAAGAAATGAAACTTATTTATTACGATCATAACTTTCTCTAATATTTTGAAATTAATTTTTTTCTTTCTATATTAAAGCGTTTAATCATAGCTTGCTGTAAGTATTTCTATTTTTTGTTTACAGCTGTCTGTAATCCTGGCTGTCAGTTTGGGTCCTGTACAAGTCCTGGCGTTTGTTCTTGCTACCATGGGTACACTGGTAGTCGTTGCCAGACACGTAAATATTTTTTAAGGTTTTTCAAATAATTTATATATTTATTTTATAGCTAATATGTTCTACGGTGCGACCGTTGGGGCGAGCGCAGTTATTTACTATCAAAAACTGACACAGCATTTACTTGCACTGCCTAAACTCAGTTCATTTAAAAAGAAGAAAAGAATTTTTAAAAATCGCTTCCCAGGCATCGGGATCGAGATTCCGAACTTTTCGGAAGTTTCCGACAAAATCGGAAATACCCGAGCCGTTTAAGTTACGAAAGTATGACGTCAAATAAAAAGTCCTGTTGACTTAGAACGCAAACGATAGTTTTGTGGCATGGAGATTGCATTAAATCGTTGTTTGTAATTTTTTTCAAGTAAGTTGTTGCTATGTTTTAGCCACCATGTTGCTATGCACCGCAAAGGATTATTGGGATATGAGAATGTTTTCACGTGGACTCATAAAAATTTCTTGGAACAATGTGCAGATTCCAACCCGAATTTCCTCTGTTCGTACACGTTAGTCTATTGAGCTCGCTACGCGAGCGGCGCTTCGCGCCGCCTCGCTGCGCTCGCTATTAATATGTTAGACGGTGTGACCGTTAGTGAGGGCGGAACCGTGAAGAGAAATTTGGTACATTTTATTGTTTAATGATAAATCAGTTGATCAGTTAAATTCTGAAATTGTCAATGTATCTATACTTATAAATTAATAAATTTTGCAAATAAACTCCGAAACGGGTGCACAAGAGTTCTTACTTACCCGTCTAATACTACACTACATACAAGATGATGTCCGTAAACTATATTCAGATTTCACTCAGATAGTAAGTATCGTACATAAAATTAAAAGTCTACTTCAATTTTCTGAAAACAGCCATGAAATAGCATCAACGTGAGAATTGTGGCGTTTCCGGTTGGCGGATCTAAGCTACTGACAAATTTTAATGAAACTGACAACAAACAATCTATTATTTATTTCATAAAATGTCATCACTGAATTATGCAATCAAAACTTGATTTAATTGATATAAAAGAAATAAGTTGCGGTGACCAATTAAAAAGCGAAAAGTGTAAATTATTTTCGTCAATCACCGATCTCAATATTGACGGAAGCTTCTAGAACATCGCGTCCCTTTTGCTACATTGTTTTAATCAAGAAATAATTATAAATATTGTAATTAACGGGTTAATTGATTAAATAGTTTTACAACAAATGATGTTATATAAATTAGAATACAATAAAAACAATAGTTTTGTAAAAACGAGCAAAATATGCTTGGAATTTATCAGAAACATATTGTTGCCGGGAAAAAACACTAATATTTATTGATACAAGGATTATATTAGTAGGCAAATGGTAAATCGCAAGCAATTGTGAGATACTACATGAAAGAGTATCCCATGTGAACTCATGACAAGCCGACAGCGAGGTATCATAAGTTGAGGACGAGTAAATGACAAATGAAAATATTTTGAATATAGGAAATACATACACCGAAAGACTAAAATAGATATGTAATGTACATATATCTTTTTCTTCTGAGGTTATCGATAAAAACTGTATTTTCCGTCCTGAGAGCATCGTGGTAACGAACCTGACGTACAATTTGTAATCAACTTAAATGCGTTCAATAAAAGAGAAAACTTATGAATAAGGTATTGTTCAAATACATTTAATTACAGCTATAAAGTTTTGTGCTTTCATAAAGACATTTCAGCTTTTTTCTCTCTAAAAAAAAGTCTTCCTCCAATGCCAATTTCTTTCAGAATCAAATTTTTTGAATTCAACACTACATTTCCCTTATATGAATTTCCTGTAGTAAAAGGGGGGGGGGGGCAACCAGCCTTTCACTGAACATTTCCAGTAGTAAAAGTATTGGTGGGAAAAAAAGTGGGGGGAGGGGGGGCAGCCTTTTTACGTATTAATAAGGGTACATATATAATTATAAACCAAGACCCAAGTACCTGTGAATTTTTTACCCCTCCCCCAACTCCCCAAAATCAATTTATTTGTATATTATGTATATTCGTTGCTTTTATCCTTCATGAAAATGAAATAAGAACATTTGAAGTGCAATATCCATAACATTGTATGAATGTTGAAGACATAAACGTCAATTAAAGCATTTTTTATTTTCAAAGTTTTCACAAAAAGTGGGTGGGAATGGTGACGTACATTAATATTTCTTTCATGCGGACTTTTGAACAAAGTATTTCTTCCCTCTGTAAGTCTGTAGTCTATCAGTAAAATCTATAACTTCTAACTACAATATATAATTTTCTGTTGTAAATGGTAAAGTTCTATGTTTAAATTCAATTTCCCGCGCTTGCGCGGGTAATTATCTAGTAGAACTAATTATAGCAAAGGGTTCGCTTCATGCAGGTCTATGGTCAGTGTCAGAAAATCATAACAAAGAAATCAGTTCTCTTGAAAAAAAAAAAAGCTTTCCCATCTCTTACATGTACCTCATTACTTTTCATTCAAATAATTCAAGATATTTCATCATGAGATGAATGGTTGTCTAGCCAGAGCACTTAAAGTCAAGAACGTTGTGGGAAAAAAGAGGGGCATGCATTGGGTCATTGGACCAGTAATGGGTTCAACACACCGGGCCCAAGAAATGTAGGACACCTCGGTCCAACGACACCTCAAACTTTAATAGTTATACACGTAACTGTAAACTTGTTCCAAAATACTAGTATATCCAATCAATGTTAATAAAAAAATAATCAATTCATAAAGTTTTCTGAGCACCAATTCTTTTTCTTTCACTAATTGATTTATAATTATGCTTATTTAACAACTGTACACTTATCTAGAAACCTCAAGTCATTTCTCAACTGTTATTACTCCCATTGCATGGTTATGATGTTATCTAAAGTAAGAACAATATTATTGTCAAGACCAGATCAGAAGACGAAATTGGGACCCAAACTACAGGCAGATGATCTACTTCCTGGATGAATCTAATCATCAGACCAACATTTGACTGTGTTAATTACTATCACAAGAGTTGAAAATATAACAGCATCACAACTTTTATGAGAAAAAAATTTGCAAACTAAAGGATGCACGATCAGGGACATTTAATACTACGTCCCTGTTGTGACATACCTTTTTTCTTTTTATTTATTTCTTTTTATTTTACATTATTTGTAACCCATGAATTATATTTATTGTTTTCTTAATTTTAATGAAAAATGTATCTTTCACCTTTCAATTTAAAAAAAAAAAACAAATATGATTCAAATAGTCTTTAGAATTTTCTAAATCTAACATAATTGTACTGAAAACAGTTATATATCTGGGGAAATACTTTAAAATTAAAAGTTTTTTTTTTCTGGTACCCTTGTCATTAATACCGGGTAGTTAATTATATAATTTCAAATCCAACACTTGTGAATATAATAATAGGGTACACTTTTGAGAAGTTATGAATAGAATATTTTATCGATGTCAAACAAAGATTCTGAATATTTGCTTCATGTTTTTAATAGATAAGCACATTTATTAGGATTGAAAATTATATTAATATGCTTGATGTGTATTAAATATGAGTATTGTAGTGTGCATATAGGTATGTATACATTAACAGAATGCACTGCACTTTGAAGTCGTATAACTTTGTGGATATTTTCATGCATTTACTGAAAGATGTATGTACTACTAAACTGAACAACTACCTCTCCAGACTGTACATTATACACTGTTTAACTTATTTTTTCCTGCTTTAATTTAGACTTTATATGTAATTCCAATTATCAAAAAAAAATCTTTTTGAATTTTTTAAATGCATACATCATATTAGATTTTTCTTTTGATAGTGATCTTTATAAGAAACTGAAATTTTGTCATTTGAAAAACTTGATAAAATAAAATATTAAATTTTAAAAAATCACAACAAAAATGAAATTCAGACTTCCATAGATCTGCTAAATACTTATGTTTCCATGTACAAGTAGAAATTCATAAATAAGTTGGATACCTTAAAAAAAAGGAAAAGAAAAAAAGAAATCCACACACTCTTATTGAGTCTCCTGTGAGACTTTTCACAGGGTATTTTATTTTATCACTTTATTAAAAAATTTTAACTGTTCAACAAATTATACTGTCAAAAAAAAATCCTACATATAATTTCTAGCTTAGTATGTATTGACAAGTATAATCCTGAAGACATTTATTATTGGCAAATTTTATTTAACAAATAAATAAGGATATTCTTGTAAAAGGGGCCACAGATAGATCCGCTCCTCCATAGTGCAGACGACAGCGCCGCCTTTAGGGAAATTCTGACCAATCAAATGCCGCTTTACTTGTTAGCGCGAATTATAAATAAATCTAAACGTCTAAAACGAAAGTAGGAATGGAATGATTACAAATGGATTTGATTTAAAGTAAAAAAGAATTACTACACATTATCCTTGGATTAAATGTTTTTACTTTGATGAAAGTCTCATCAACAACGAGAATTTACGCGTGGATAAAATCGACGCCATTTTATGACGACGCCATATTGGCGACAAGAATCTCAGTTCCATAGGTATTGTAAATGACATATAGTTTACGATAGATTTCTTTTATTTTTCATATACATACGTGTTACCTATAGGGAGAGCTTCGCTCTCACGGGCCCTTCGGGCCCGTGAGAGGGCTCCGCCCTCTATAAGTTCCTTTGCAAATGCTGAATATCGAAGTTTTATTTTGAATAATCGCTTTTCCTTTAAACATGAGGAGTCAAAATGTTAAATTAATGATGTATGAACAACTTAATGTATATCATTTTTAAATCAATTAAGTCTACATTTAAGGTAGATCGCGGGTTTACTGTCTGCCTGAAAACATACTCCGAAAATTTGTCAACTTAATCCTCTCGATTCAAATTTTACTTTCTGAAATTTTTGTGAGATTCGTCTGCGTGGTTATATTGTTATCGTATTTCAAAGGCACTAAATGTTATGAGAACTAGTGACGCTATTACAATGAAATATATAGTAAATGCGCCTTTCTCACCGGTAAACGCATTTCAAAACCATGCTTAATATGTTGACGGTGCGACCGTTAGAGCGAGCGCAAACTCTTCTGTTGTTTTGATTTAGATCGGGCTCGTCAAGCCGCACGTGACATTCGGTGCGTCTAGACTCTGACGTCACATGACGTATGCAAATTGCAATATAATACGAGAAAAAGCCTGAACAGTGCTGAAAGTTAATGAAGAACGTTTTATTTTCTATTTATCTTCAATATATATCCATTAAATCAAGGCGAGTAAACTTTTTGTTGAACATTTGGCGTGATTCTCGCGAGAACGTAGCTAAAACAAGTGATGCATTGTGGCTCCAAATTCGGCATCAAAAAATTCTATCGAATGAATGTGCAGAAGTCCGAATTTTCTCTTCGCAAAGGCGTTGCTTTAAGAGCTCGCTATGCGAGCGGCGCTTCGCACCGCCTCGCTGCGCTCGCTATAATATAAAAACGGCGCAGACGAATTTTATATTACTCAACACGATGAATGTGAGATATATTTTGAATCGATCTATTAAAAAAAATTAATATGTGTTCTCGCTCATTTTCTTGCAAAAAAACTTTAAAGTTTTATAAATTTGTAACAAACGTATTTAATTTCATTAAGACGTTATATAACGTTAGTGGGACGTCATTATTTACGTACGTCTCAGAATCACAATGTAATCAACAATTCACTGTTGAACATTGTCATAATTTACATTTGTACCTAAATTGTCACACTTTTTTCAATGAAACACGGAGTCATGTTATTTGAATCAATTTTGACCTTTCGTATTTTAACTTAATATTAACTTTCAATTTAATATAATATTGATTAGATATTAATTAATCCTTTATTTTTTATCGCGTTATTAAATAAATATTTTTTACAGACAAAACAAGCTTTAATGATTGTTTTATTTTATGATGGAAATACTTTTTGCTTGTTTGTAGTTTGATACTGTACGCTTTTTACGTCGAATCCAATTGTGACGTCAGCAAACCCGCGATCTACCTTAATCATTCTTTGTAATGACGCTAACATAACTGCATATGTTTACAGCTATATGTTATCAAGGTTGTCAGAATGGAGGCAGTTGTGTTAGTCCAAATACATGTAAATGTCCAGCGGGCATGTACACTGGTTCGAGGTGCAATGTCCGTAAGTGATATTTAATTTACTTTATCTCTTTCAAAATCACATTATCACATCAATTTGGAACATATTAACATTTTATATGGACACTGGTACTTTCTCCTGTTTTCCCCTAGTTTACTAAATATTTGAAAAAACACTGTTCTCCAACTGTAGTTAAACTAATTCTTACATATGTTAGAAAAGATATTTGAAGCAATTTCCGTATTGTCATTTCTTATATACTACCAATAAAATTTTAAGTCTATTTCGACTATTTAAGATTACACACCCGAATATGTTGAGGAACAAGAGGCCCATGGGCCTTATAGGTTACACGAACACCATGCAGCAACTTTCCAACGATTCATGGTTTAAACTAGACGTCATGGCATTCACATTTTGGAAGGGGCACCATTGCTTATCTAAACTACTGAGTATACACTTATCATGCTTACCTTGGTTACTTAAAACCCAAAAACAGAGTCGGGGAATATAAAATACATTTCGACTTACCAGTTATATTCAGCAAAAATCAGTAGTGCCAATACCACATATGAACACCTGACCCTTGGTCCACACATTTCACGATTTTGGAAAAGAAACCCTTGCTTATCAAAATTGTTTTATATATACCAAGGAGCAGATTTCAATTAATTAATTCATTTTAGTATATAAGTAGAGCCCCCCCCCCATGGTTCCCCTGGCTCAGGGGCCTTGATATTCACAATTCAGAAAGAATGACCCTTGCTTATCAAAGCTATATAGGTAGTTCGTTTGCTTAATACCCAGGAGCAGAGAAGAATTTTTTCTAAGAATTTATGCATTTTTTCTATATAATCATATAATATGATAGAATCCTGCCCTAACACCAGAACCCCTTACCTCGTGGCCATAAAATTAACAATTTTGGAATAGGCATTCTTGCTCACCATAACTTTATAGTTACGTAGTTAGTTTGTTTAATACCCGGGAAAAGAGAAGAAGATTTTCAAAGATTTAATGTATTTTCACTTTATAATCAATAGAGCTCCGCCGTAACACCAGAACCCCAGATCCTTGGGCCATAAAATTCAAAATTTTGAAAAAGGCTTTCTTTCTCATCATAACTATGTACTTAGTTTATTTAATACCAAGGAGCAGAGAAGATGATTTTAAAGAAAAAAAAGCATTTTCACTATATAATGAATGGAACCCCACCCTAACACCAGAACCCCTTACCCTGTGGCCATAAAATTCACAGATTTGGAAGAGGCATTCTTTCTCATTATAATTATGTACTTACTTTTTAATACCCTCGAACAGAGAAGAAGATTTTTAAAGAAATAATGCATTTTCACTACATAAACAATATAATATCAATAAAATTCACGATACATGTTCAGTATTCAAAAGATGCTGAAGAGAGTGTTTAAGTTTCTTTGAGTTTAAAGAGTGTTCTTTCTTTTCAATCAAAATGGCAATAATTCCAAATATGTAAATGTTTGGAATCCAGTCTGCATCAATATGTATACATCATTCGTTTAAAGAGACTTTCCTCTTTTATTTGTTTCATATTCAATCCTAATTATCAGTAGAACGTGACTGTCCATTGATAGGACCAAACTTCACACAGTACAGAGTAGGCTATACTTTGCTATTTCCATAAGCATTTAAGTTCTGTGATTATAAAACAGCTGAAAAAAAAATGAATTCAGTTTTAAAAACAATACTCGTTTTTGCACTTCTATTTTCCGTTGATTTCTCATAGTAAGCCTTAATAGTGCTGCCTTTCAGAAAACTCAGAGAACAAGCTTGCCTATCTACCAAATTTATATATTTCATACACTAGTATCAGATGCATTTTGTTTATAAAATCTCAGATTGTCAAGTGTGCCGAAATGAAATTAAAAGTATCTAAGATTTGATTAAATTCCACAAGAATTAAGAAAACCCCCTCTTATGGCCGCCTTGTAACCTGCCATTTAAAGTTAGACCTGGTTTTAAAACAAGCATCAAATTGAGCTCTTAACTGCAAATTATTACAGTTTTAACTGTGTTAAGATTTTTACATCAAATAATGGGCCAGATTCAGCGGTTAATATTCTTTGTCCTTTATGAAATTATTTTTGTTACCAAATTTTCTTTTAAACATAACCCCTCTCGTTCCTGCTTTCTTTTTATTTGCAACTCTAAATTTACTTAGATGACCTTTGAGATGATCAAGTGTGCTATTTTCTCAATTCATTTCTATATCTTTGTTAAATACAAGTGAAAAGGACATTACAAACATGATTAACGTCAGAATACCATCAAAAAGTTTTGAACGTGAATTCTTCATTCGCAGCTATTTGTACACCGTCATGTAAGAACGGAGGGACTTGTTCCCAATCAAGACACTGTGTGTGTACGAATACCTATCGAGGAAGGGACTGTGGGGATCGTACGTATCTTTCTATGTTTATGCTATGCTTTTTTAGATAAACATATTAATAATGCTACTCATTTAACACTTTCAAAATATATAAAATAGAATAGAAAATATTTGCTAACCAAGTAATTTTGAACTAATATAAGATTATCGAACTCAATACAGATGCTGAGAAAGTTAAATTAGTTATCGGTATATCTTAACAAATAAGTTTAAGAATCAGAAATTAGTAATCTTGTCTAAAAGTTAATCTTGTCTTAATTCAGATTGTCAGAAAGTGACTGTCTCTGCTTTTTAAACAACACTTTGTATGAATTTAAAATTTCGTTTCTAGCTGAGTGTGATTAATTCAAACTTACTTTCGTTTACAGCTGTCTGTAGGCCTAGCTGTCTGTTTGGAACTTGTATACGTCCTAACGTCTGCTCTTGCTACCCGGGATACACTGGTAGTCTTTGCTCGACACGTAAGTTTAAGGTTTTAAACTTTAACATATATTAGCTTTTAATGGATCGTTGACAAATCCTGGGGTTATGTCTTTGCTTCTCAGGGCTAGGCGAAGAAGAACATTCAAAATATTATAATAATAATATATAAATATATTAATAACAAATAAATTTAATTGATTTTTGATTAAGAATTCTTGATTATGTGTCAAAAATGATTAACAGGGTGGTTCTAAATGTTTCTAGCAATATGTTATCCAGCTTGTCAGAATGGAGGCACCTGTGTTAGTCCAAATACATGTAGTTGTCCAAACGGAATGTACAGTGGTTGGAGTTGCAATGAACGTAAGTGATCACCTAGACTCGTTATAATACATGTATTTTTCAATATACGTATCATCGATTTCGGATGATTTAAGGTTGCTGGTAACTGATCGCAGTTTACTACTCCCATATTCCGAATTGCTTAACGTATGAAAAAAAAAAATCTTAACCCAAATATGGTGTTATCAATTTGGATACATGCATGTTTATCTCATTTCAAATCTCATTTCTTTCGAGTATGTCAATTGTTTTAGATACACTGTAACATAATATACAATTATGGACTCTTTTGGTGTTGAATATGGTTTGTTATTCACCAGAAAAATATTCATATTGACCGAGGCGAAGGCCCTGAGAGGCTTTGGAGCTCTTGTTTTATATTATATTGTCAATTGAAAGACAGCATTATCCTTAATGTAAAAAAAAAATTCTGTTTAATGTATTCCCTTTCGCTTGTGTTTCCTATTTATGTTTTCAAAATTGTCTGATCATATTTTAAGTGATTAAAATGGAGAACTATATATGAGAAATATCACTTATTGTTTTCTTCCAATATATATAATTTAAATATATCTATAATAAAAAGACGTTAAAGAACATTTTATATTTAAATACCGATTATCAACCGTAATAAATTGTTTGAATGAGAATATTTATAATTTACAGCCATTTGTAATCCGTCATGTAAGAACGGAGGGACTTGTTCCCAATCAAGACAGTGTCAGTGTCCGAGTACCTATCAAGGAAGAGGATGCGAAATTCGTTTGTATCTCTATATTGTTTAAGTTTATTTTTATAATTACATGTAAATGTCGCTTTTATGCTTCTCTCAGAATTGGTATATACTGGAAATGCCAGTTAATTAATTACGGAAGTCTTACCTAAATTTAGAACATAGAGCATTATTTTAAGATTGATGAGTCTAGAAAAGAACAAAAGTCTTGAGAATATGCTATTAAGAATTGTGACTTTTTCTAGGGATAACCTTTGTAAACATTTTTTTGTGATGATTTGCTTTAATTTGTAGCTAAGTGTGAATGTTTCTAACTTTTATTTACAGCTGTTTGTAGTCCAAACTGCAAGTTTGGTTCCTGTAAAGGTCCAGACTTCTGCTCTTGCGACTCGGGGTACACTGGTAGACTTTGCGAGACACGTAATTCTATGTTGTTAATATATAGACATGTTTCAGATATAATATTCTTTTGGTAAAAACCTGATTTAAAGACAAACAAACTATTTCTTCATATGAACAGGAACTTTCAAAATATCGAGTAATATAATAATATGATAAGATATTGATGTTTGAAAAGATTTATATTTCATTTATAATGTATAGTAATTTTGAATTAATTTAAAATTATGTAATTTTTAATATTGTCTTAAACATGAATATAGTGGCAGTTGTAAATATTGACAGCTATCTGTAACCCTGTTTGCCAGAATGGAGGCGTTTGTGTCAGTCCGAATACTTGTAATTGTCCAGCGGGCAGGTACACTGGTCCGGGATGCAATATTCGTAAGTGATTGACCAAAATATATTAAAACATTTAGTTCTCAAAATCACATCCGTTTCTGATAAACAACCACTAAGGAAACTAGACGTAGTAGATATTTACATTCAGTGTAATTTTTCTTATGAAATCTGAATTGACGACGGATTTTTTCCGTTATTTCCTGATTATGACAACGAGCACACGGCGGGTGTGACCGGTCGGCAGGGGATGCTCACTCCTCCATGGCACCTGATCCCACCTCTGATGTTTCGGAGGTCCGTGTTTGCTCGGCTCTTATTTTGTATATTGTTTAATGGACATTGAGATTGAATACTGTTCGTTATTTCCATATCCATCCATTAGAAATCCACGACGTTCAAAGAACTATATGCGGTATATTGCATATATTTGCCCCCACAAAAGTCAAATTTTAAAAATTTCCTGAAATGTGCTGAATTCAATAAATTGTATGAGAAATATAAATTAAAAGAAAATATTATAGTGTCAAAGTAGTGTATTCACAATTTTTGTTTTTATGACATCACAAACTAGTCCGATTTTATATCCTTTTTCAAAAAGAGGACAAATTGGATAAAATTTCAACAATTTTAGCTTTAAAATTTATAGAGCACAAGTTTGTTCAGGAACAATATTCAATTTGGCATATTTCATTGATATTATCATTCTACACATTATATCAAAATATTGATCCTGAACACACATGCGCTCGGTGACGTTTACTCAAAATATCGAAGAAATGTGTACACTTTCCTGTAAAATTCATGAAAAACTTAAATTTACGTCATGTTTGTGATGTCATCACGTACATATATCGTCATTAGTTATGAAAATATTCATTGCTTTAAAGTCAGCATATACTCTCCTATTCAAGAACTTAATTAAATATATCTCCATCAAAGTTTAATTTTGGGGGGGAGCACATATTGGTTATTACCAAATAAAGTTCTTTCGAATTCTATAACACACGCGAAACCGTGTCAACGCACATTAGAATACACAGTAGGAACTATATGCATTTTCAATACTCTATGAACACCAAATGTAAAATGTTTTATTTCAATTAAACGAGAAACTATAACCCTGAAAAATAATGTAAAAATAAACGTCATGTGTGTAAAGTAATAATATTTCTCTTTTTTCCTCGCTATGTTTGTTTGCGTCATTTAACTTTTCAACGTCATTTAACGTCATTTGACGTCACAAACGGCTCATACATCTACTAACCACGACAGTTTTGAAGGGCACTAAATTCAAATTTAAGATTAACGGAATAAGCAATTATGAAGAAGGAAAATTATTGAATGTAAATATAAGCATTGAATTCATATTTTTGGATGTCTTCGGTCCTATAACACCCCTGGACGTGCCGACAAATTATCATACCGCGCTAACATAAACATCCATATTAAGGACACAGGAGGGCGAACTATGACAATACACCGATTAACACCCCCCCCCCCCCCCCCCGATTAAATCCCCCGGCATCCCAACCCCTGGGTCGTATTTACAAATCATATCACCTGATTGCACCTGGGTGCAGTGTTTCATTTTTCTTATGGGATTAGTACATCTGAAATATCATTAAAATTAATCGCTTGACTGACAACAGGGGGGAGGGGGATTACAAAATTCACTCATTTTACATAGTTGTCAGGTCTATATTCAATTATTTTTACAACGAAACATTGACTACCGGTATATAAATTGGATCTAAATTAATTTTTATAGTAGAATTGCTGTTAAGGTTGGGGAGGGGGGGGGTACGTAAATTTTGAAATTAGTGATATAGCAATGACTTTTGAAGTTTACAATACGATAAAATGAGGGTTATTAAATCTGACAAGTTAGCAAAAAAATGTCAATGTCTTGAAATTAACATTGACCTTACGACAACAAAGAATAAGGGGGGGGGGGGGGGGGAGGCAACCTGAAGCCGCATAGACAAGAAAATTTACCAAAGCAAAAATACAATAACATATATACTCAGAAAAAAACAGGGGGAATGTACATGTATCCCTTTTCATGATCTTCTAAAACGAGCATCATATAGAGTAAGATGCTAACTTCGAATTCGATATTTAAGATTTTTTTAGCTATACAAAATAGAAATGTAGAATAAGATCTATAAATAAAATCTAATGGACTTGTGCGTTTGGACATGCCGAGGGGTATCGCATGGAGTCATTGCAATGCTACTTGAATTGAGTCTGGGGGTCGTGTTGCGAAAATAGAATGTGCTCAGCTCTGCAAAGCGACTTGTTTCCTCTTAATTCCAAGAAAGTCTATAAAGCTTTCAAATTTATCAGGTACAGATTATCTATTAATTATTCGAAGATTTGACTGGGATTCTTCGATAAAAGTAGGGTTTAACAGAGTCCTAGGTCGATCGAGAAATTGGTTTGCTAGAGTGTGATTGAGATTCGCATGTCCTACATGTAGCTACTTAAAAATTGACCCGAAGGCAGCTGAACATCATTTCCGCGGTCAGTTTCCCATTTAAACTAAATATCAAGATAATTTTTAGAAGCAATCGTTTTAAATCTTGGAAAAAATGTGTAAATGAATAAAAATTGAATGTAAACTTTTTTTTTTTGGAAATATTTCTAAATTATACACTGTAACGTGCTTTTACCCCCAAAAGGACAGAAGGAATTCTTAGTATTTTCATTTAGTACTCTTTTGAAAATTTTAATATAACATTTTTTACATGTATATTCAATTATGATTTTTCCCTCAACAAAATTGACTATATTTTCCTTAATTTAGGCTTAGAGATACATGTATAACCGATATTTATGTTAGAACTGAATTTAGAAAAGGTATTCACTAAAAGAAAAACCTGGTGAATTTAACTTGTGAAAATTGTAAATCCTTTGTCGTGAATTAGAGTAAAGCTTTCGGTTAAGAAAGTGAGTTGCGGACCTAGGGTCGTATTGATAGTTATAATTAGATACCGGCCTAGTGAAAGTTGCTTATAAATTCTAGATTCACTAATGTTATCTTACTAGTAAATACACCCAATACATGTACCTAGTAAAACTTCTTATAATGTAATGATTATATGGACAATAACATTTACTAGTTTTCTCAGTGACTTTAAACACTTATCTTTACAGTGTTTTGTTTGCGCATTTCAAACTTGCAAATCAATACATAAAAAATGCATCAATTATTATAAAATAATTTTTTTAACTTTTAACTTTCATTAATATGTAGTTGTTTCTAAATTCTTCAGCTTTTATTTCTGCAAAAACTGCAGTCAAATTTAATTATTTTAATATATAAATTTCAATTAAGAAAGTGAAAAGACGTCTCAAACTTTTATGACTTCGCCAGGGACATATATGTCCCTCTCGCAGCCAGCGGTAAAAGGACATATATGTCCTTCCCGCAGCCAGAAGGTTAAATATATTACATAATTTATTCGCAAGACTTCGCCTTAAAGTGGATATAATTAAAAAAATATTTATTCCGCTGGTGAAATCGAATCAGCATGAGGCTACAAAATAATTATATTGAATTTCATGATTTATAGTACAAAAAGTCTAATACTATAAATGTACTTGGGCTAGAGCTACATGTAACCACGAAATTTACATAAAAGGGAAAAATATAGAGATAACGAATAGTATTCAAAATCAAAAGTCCATAAAACAATACAAAACAGAAAAAGAGGAAATACGGATCTCCAAAACATCAGAGGTGGGATCAGGTGCCATGGAGGAGTGAGCATCCCCGACTTACCAGTCACATCCGCCATGTGCTCCTTGACATGATTGGGAAATAACGGAAAAATCCGTCGTCAATTCAGTGTATAAATAATAGACTTACAATTAGTATGAAAAACGTCAGTCAGCCTTTGACTCTATGATAAATTGTATTTGCATATACTTGTTTCATCAACTTGCCTGTCAATTATTTACCTTGTTTTAGAAATTGTTGTTCATACGATATATAAACTACGTATGCAGGTGATAAGATATATTAATTGCTGCATAAGTAAGGGGAGTTGACGGTAGTAAAGTCAAAGTCATCATGTTTATCATAGAACCTAGTTGTGATATTACAATTAATGCCTTTTCAAGTAATATTAACGTATGAAACAAATGTTTCAGACTCTGTGGTATCTTTTATCTCAAGCTCCCCAGGCTCATATTTGAAAAAAGGAGATATTTGCGTGTTTTTCTGCCTATTGATTATATTCTTCATTCACAGCTATTTGTATCCCGTCATGTAAGAACGGAGGGACTTGTTCCCAATCAAGACAGTGTGTGTGTCCGAGTACCTATCAAGGGAGGGACTGTGGAGATCGTACGTATCGTTAATGTTTATAAATACACATGTGAATATTCTTATATGAATATACGCGTAACTGATAAGAAACTAGATTAAGTTCATTTTTCCGGAGTTGCTAAATATAAAATTTTATCGGATAGTAAATCTTTTCCTACATTAAGAATCGATGCTTTAATTGCAAGCAAGTATTTTGTTTACTCAATCATCATTACGCTTTCCAAATATTGATCCCAGACGACAGAATGAAAATGTTCGCTTTCAGCGCGGTAAATAATTTTATCACAAATATTTCATAATACACCATATTAATAGTCATTCTCTGTAACCACTTAAACTTCGTTGCCACGCATGGTCACCGATTTTGATGAAACTTCACCCATGCTTAGTACTTGACACCAGAAACAAATATCAAAATTTCGTTGCTATGTGTCTCGGTTGCTATGGCAACAGCCGGAAAAGTTTGAAAAATCAAGATTTTCAGCCACTTTAAATCTTAACTGTGGCTTAATAAAAACTAGAAAAAGCAAACAAACCATTATCACAAGAACAAGACACCTTGATGTCACTTATACTGAAAAGAAACTGTTTAGAATATATGTCTAAGTAAGTGGTAACCAAGGGTACTTTTGGAATACATTTAAAATGCTGAAATATGCTGAAATATGCTGAAAAACACTCCGTATTCACTAATGGTAGGTGTTACATGCTCAAACTCAATCAACGACTTAAGAAAAACAACGAAAATGTTTGACCTTAAGTATGTAAGTATAAGCAACATTATTCTATAAATAACTTTTATGGTTGCCATGGTAACACAGTGTAACCATGCAAAACCAGTAACTAGGATTGGGTTAATGCTACTGTCTTGAGGAAAAACATGAAAATTCAAGACTGGCAAAAATGCATTTTTAGGACCTTGCAACACCAAAACCATAAGAAAAATTGGGTATAATTGCTACTTTGCAGTGTTACCATGGAAACAAAGTAACAGTGCTTAAAAGTGAATTATTTTTTGCTGCATTAAGAATTAAATTGCCATTTAATCAAGAAACAAATTAAAGGACTCAGCTTGAATAGTACTTATCTGTTAGAACTGAAGTTGAATTTCATATATTGATAAAATTCGATGAAGAAAACAACACTGTTGCTATGGTTACCAAGAAGAGAAAATGTTCGATTTTGTGAACTTTATATCAATATTAAACCCTGTGTGCCAACTTCTTGCATCCACGTAGAGATTGGATGATGGTCAAAATTAAAAGTTAAGTTAGCTGTTAATAATTATCAATCAGAAAAATTTTGGGAATCTACATTAAAGGGTACGTATCCAAGGAAATAAATATTTTTCAGGTTTTTAAGCATATATTTTCTGCTTATTTCCATAGCAACGCTCTGTTTAAAGAATCTAATCTGATTTTTTTCAAATGAGAAAACTAGGAGCACATCAACATCTTTAAAAAATGATCATTAGTTATGAGGAAATGTGCTTTTTTTAAAAGATAGGATCAGATTTAAACATACAGAGTGTTCCTTTGAAGGCTCACTGTGGTATAAAAACCTTGGCAACCATTGCCAACCAAAATGAAATATCGTATTTTGTTCATGGTATATCTTTCAAGGCTCTTTTTTCTATTATTTGGTCACATTTCATCCTATAATTGCTTTTTATTTTTACCTGTATGACTTTATAAAATTAAATGAATATTTTTTTTTACCTTTGAATACTTTGTTACCATAGTAACGTATGTAATAGTTGATTTACCAAACATTTTTATTATGCATTTCAGACATCTGACCTTCAACTTTTGGAAACAGTCATTGCCAATTGTTTGCTTTGCCGCAAACGTTAACTATGGGGGCTCTAAACATGTTAAAAAATGCCATTTTTCGAACTTTAAGACATGTTGCCATGGCAGCTATAAAGCATAGCAACCAATTTTTGCCCCATTTCAGTTTAGGGTATCAATGACTTTTATCATAGAGAGTTTGGAGAAATTCTGAGACTATGCGTGCCACAGCTCCTATATAAAATTTCAAGTCGTTACAGAGAATGGCTCTTAATTACTCTATAATATTGTATTCTCAGCTGTTTGTACACAACCTTGCCAGAATGGAGGTACATGCATTTACCCTGACGTATGTTCATGTGATGAGACTTATACGAGGCCTCTTTGCGAAATACGTTAGTTTTATAATACAAGCTAATATTTTCTATAGAAATTAACGCATGTAGAATATGTATATTATTACAAAACTAATCTTACAAAACTACAGACGGGTCGATTTTCTTTTTTATTTAAGTCTAGCACAATGGCAGAGAACTATTTGAAGTTTGCGCATGGTAATTAAATGGAAACTACCTGGTCATTTTATTTTTACAGCCAAATGTTCCTATCATTCTCCATGCTTTCCTGGTACGTGTGGTAATGATTCCGTTACTTGTCAATGTTACCAAGGGTTTTCTGGTCTGGATGGAATTCAGCGATGCAGGGAACGTAAGTTGAAAATTATTGTCGAAGATTTAATTTGTCGTTAAATCGTGTTGTAGTTCTATGAATAACATTGTGATAAAGTAATATAATAAATCGAAGCATAACCTTGAGGCATGTAAAATTTATTTTTACCGTTAAAAGCCATAATGGGAAAAATCTATTAATCTTAAATAAAGGAGTTTGAAAAAAATGCCAAATATATCAGAATCTTTTTACAGTTTATACATAAGCTACACATACATGGGGATTGTTTGAAGTGCTGAATTATGCAAAATATTAGTATTTATATGTGTCAGTAATTTTATCACACACATTACGCTGAGCTTCATGTATTTAATGCATTTTTGTACGTTCAATGGAACTAGAATTGCATGTTTTACACATTATTGCGTGGACCCTGAGGTCCACGCAGTAAATATTTAGGCCAACATTTTTTTATTTTCTGTTTTACGGGAATTTTTTTTAAAAAAATTGAGTCGGGGGGTCGAAATAAAAATAAAAATAAAATCTTCAAATTCATGCAGTCGGTCAGAAAAATAAAAATAAAATAAAAAAATGTAACAATTTTTTTTATTTTTTAAATTAAGAATTGAATTGTTCTATTGCCTAAATTTGGTAGGAACAGGGTGTTATTTGAAAAATTAATGCATGCAGAAGAATTTTATCATAATTTTGGGATATTCAAAAAATAATAAGATTTTTGGATTTTTGAGTAGCTATCATATGGCAAGAAATATAGTGAGGCATTTAATGGATTGGTTAAATTATTTCACAAGTGAGACTAATTAAAAGAAAATCTGAGTATCTTTTTCAATGCTATTCAAATTAATATACACATACAGGTAGGTGGATAAAATGTATGATCTTTTGAAAACATATTGAAATTGCCTCAATGCTATAACTTTCAAAGTAAATGATTGTAGAAAATGTAAGGAAAATGTAATATCATAAGTATATACATGTAAAATAGACTATGACAATTACTCTGTTTACTGCAGAATTCGTATATTTCTAAAAACTGGTTCTATTTATCCATAATTTTTGAATAAAAATAACAGGTGATATTTGTATGGACGAATCATTTGCAGCTTTGTTTTTGCCTAGTGGTAAAAAGGCTGTTTTACAAAGAAAGAGCTGTCATAATCACCCTCATGTGCATTTATTTGTTACATAACAGGTAAAATTCCATTTTGAATCATAATAAGTGTGATTAACATTATAATAACGAGTGGAAGTTGTGACTCGAATTTCCTCAGTCACGCCACTTCTTACAGTGTTCTATTCTCTTGTTACAAGTAAAAGAAAACACTATTATATTAAAGATAAGTTTCAGATTAATCTTTAAGTCGTATTTCAATGCTTTTAAACAATTGTCAAAGATAATACGTACTTAAAACCTCCCGAAACAAGGGGTTGACAGAACCTTAATTTCCACGTGCCGTGGCCCTCAACGTAACATTTGATCAAGATTACTATTTCGTCTATTTTATTCATTAAAAGTTAATCTAAAATTAATGTTTTTTTCCCAATAAATGTCATGTCACTTTTTAAAATGACTGGGTGCATTTAAAAACAATAACCTACGGTTCTGACATTTTGCCGCTAACTTTCATGCTGTGCAGTGGCTATCCACGCTTCACATTCCTGCTCATTAGTTTTGCCAACTGTGATTGGATGGATTTATTTACCTCAGCCAACGACAATTCACGTTTTGAAAGACTTGTTAAAATTTTGTTGACGTTTCTTTTATTTTTTCAATGACTATAAATAAGCTATCGGCGGGAGAAACAAAAATAAAACTTGAAGAAGAGACTTTTATTTTTATTTCATTTTAGCTCAAATTAGGGTCGGCGCTCCCGTAAAACAGTAAATAAAAAAATGTTGGCCTTAAGCGAGGTTAAACTGGATGTCCTTGGCAAACGACAGGCTACGCTTGCGCGAGAATGCTAGAGAGTTCGCACCTAAGTAACTTGCCCTAAGAATAATTCGCCCTTTTCGAATAAAAATATACCATTCATTCGCAAATCACGCTTTTAATTTTGCATATCGCATTTACATATTCATTGTCGGATCCGATTTTCTCTCTTTTACATATATTTTTATATGCAAACTAATAATTGATTCTGTGGCACAAGTATTTGTACAAATAGAATGTAATTTTCGCTAAACTTCGGCTTGATCTCGGTAATTTACGGAATAAAATGCATTTTTATTTCTAGTCAATATCAATAGTCAATATCAAAAGCCAATATTCAAATATTTTTGTTGCAATTGATAGATAATTAAAAAAAAACAATTTGATGATAACAAATTTGACGTAAATGCGCATCTTTTAAAATAAAACGATGTCTCCGAGACTATAAAATTCAAGATGGCGGCGCCCATGAAAAATCGGTCATTGAAGGAACGGTTCAAGAAAAGAAAAGTAATTTGACGAGCACCCAGTTGTTTTAGAAGATCTTACCTGTGAAATTACATTATTCGTGATTCCATGCATGTTTTTGTGTCACGATATAACCCTCCTTTTGACCAGTAAGAGTTCGTTAGATGACTGGAAGGAGGGTAATCGAGTTTGTCAGGTCCAGTCCAAAGACTATTTCTACCTACGTAGCTATAAATAGCTACCTAGGTATTTAAAGCTACCAAAAGTAGCTATTTTTACCTACTTTAAATAATTTCTGTATTTTGCGTCCAAAAGACCAAACGGCGCAACATGGTGAACACCATATTTTTTGATACGGTCACACTAATGATGGATACGACAAAATTTTGACCAAAAAATGATTACTTCCTGAATCGGCAATTTTACATTAGTTTCTATGCAAAATTAAAAATATATGAAGTTTTCATTTTTTGGCCAAAATTTTGTCATATTCATCATCAGTGTGACTGTATCAAGAAATGTTGTGCTCACCATGTTGCGCCGTTCCTGCATTTGGGCACAAAATGCAAGTAAAGCAGAAAGTAGGTAAAAATAGCTACTTTGGGTAGCTTTAAATACCTAGGTAGCTATTAATACCTACGTAGGTAGAAATAGTCTTTGGACTGGACCTGTTTGTTTATTGTCCTGGTCAAAAGCCTCATACTGTGCTCAAAATGTCACTCCGGACCAATATAAACAACTTGTTGTCATTGTGGTGGTCCTGGAGGTACTGGGCACGAATTGCCCTGCTACCACCGATCATATGGTATATCACAGTACCTGTCGTGACGTATACCTATCATCTCTCTCTTTTCTGTTACATGCTGCAGAGAACGGACGTGTCTCTGTTAGCTCCGTAATTATTGTATTTTATACATGTATATTATAACTGTGGGTACTAATAAATAGCGGATCATTTTATCATAGTGTGTTCTCTATTCCGCCATCACAGTAGATAATAGAGAAACGCTATATCAACATT